CTTGGGCCGGCAGCCGCACCCTCCGTACCCCGGCGCCTTGGGAGCGCTCGAGCAAGGCTGCCCGCCGGACATTTCTCCCTACGAGGTGCCCCCCATCACAGAGGATGTCGGGGTCTCGCACCTGCATCACCACCACCACCACCACCATCACCACCACCCTCATCTTCCTCCTCCCCACCAGGACGCTCTGCCCTTCGCTGACGGGGCGGACGCGGGAGCCATGGAGGAGCCCCGCGTGCAGGTGCCTTTCGCCTGGATGAAATCCACCAAATCTCACGCCTGGAAGGGACAGTGGACCGGTAAGACCGACTCCCTCCAACCTTCCCCTCCCGCCCGTTCCCTGGCGCCCGCGGAGCCCTCCGAGGCAGCGGCCGTTGAGGAGCCGGGGCTGCGGGCACCCGACGGGGGAACTCCCGGCCCCGGGGAAAAAGTTCCACGAGGATGAGCAGCAGGTGCCCGGGCGGAAAGCGCCTCTCAGGCCGGTTCGTCCTCGGGGAGAACCCGGCGCTTCTCAAGGCCCGAGCAAAGATTAACAAAGCGGCTTCATTAATTAACTCATCGCCGCCAAGATGGGGCCGTGGGGCCCCGGTGCGCGGGGAAGAGCCTGGCAGAGCAGAACCGGCCGCTCCTGCCCTCCCCGTTTCCCTCTTTGCTACCCCTCCCGCTCTCCGCTTCGTTTTACCCGAATTGTGCCTTTTCCAACCTAAACCCCGGGGCAGGGCAAACAATGCACAAACGAAATGGGGCTGCCAGCGAGGGGAAGAAACTCTATCTAGGCAGAAAGTTCCGCTGCGGAACAATATTTCTGTCTCTCCTTGCACAATGTTATCGTGTCCTGCTCCTTTGTCACGCCTCTACGGCAAATATTATATTAATGGCTTTGTTCAAATAGACAGTTTAAAAAAAGGGACCGGAGAATTGAAATCGCCGTGGAATAGTCCGGGAATTGCATGGCGCAGAGCCGGGGGGGGAAGTCACCCGTCCCCATGGTGGCATCTCTGCCGGGCGGAGAGACCAGAGCGCTACCGCCCTCGCCGTGGGCCCCGGGACAGAAATTGTGTGGGGAGGATGAGATCGGATTGAGTTTTCAATAGGTTGAACTAAATTAGGGGAAAAAAGAAATCCAACTCCGAAGCTGTCCCCTTTTTTCCCCTCTCTCTCCTGTACCCGAGGATGACAGAAACAGCAGCAAAACGAAACGTCTTCCTAGAAAAGTTAAGACCTCTCCTCCTCTGTTCCCAGCTCATCCCAAAGGTGCAGGCAAAGGCTGGGCTGCACCATTAAATCGTGCATACGTGTGCGGCGGGGGCGCAAACACACGGCGCGAACCCCTATGGCGCAGGTGACACTGCTCTGTGCCACGCGCGTATATTACGCCGGGAGCCAAACGCCAATATTTACAACTGCAAAATATATATGCCAAGGATATGGGGGTTCTTTTTATGGAGAGAAAGACATGTGGCATTCAGGCGCTCGAGAAGCCGGCGAGGTCTTGCGCTGGACCCAGACGGGCAGAGTTCTTGCAAGACCAAGGCGCCCAGCGAGGCGGCAGCGTTCGGGACTGCCTGCCGGGCCCGGGCCAGGCTCTCTGCCGGAGTTAGCATTTACCTTTACCCCAGCAGTTATATATATATATATACACACACGTATAAAATATAACAAGATTTTATATACATAAATATGTATGTGTTTGCACACACATATATATAATATATTATTTGCATATATTTATAAACACGGCGCACACACATTGCGCGCGGGTGGCCATGGAATTTCGCCATGCGCTGCGGATTATATGGCGGCCCAAACTGTACCAAGCTGGAGCCCTGGTGTTAGCAGGAAGGACAATCCGTTCCAGTGCTAACCCCCAGCTCCTGTCGCGACCGCGGTCCCTGCAGTCATGATTATCGCCCAGTCGCGCGCCCTGGCATACACGCGCAGTGGCAGCGGCGGGGTTGGCAATGGCGATCTAGTTGCTGTCGCTGTTTCCGGGATCACGAAACCAAAGGTCTTGGCCAAGTTGGCGACTCCGCGGGGCGTCTCATCCGTGTCCCTGTCCGGCGCTCTCCGGCGGTGCCGGCGGCCTGGGAAGCGCGGTCGCCTCCGCGGAGAGACCCCGGCAGCTGCGGCGGCTCCGCGGACCCTTC